GGAAATATTTATTTCCTATGTATAATCTAATTATGGGCAACATATTAAATACAATTATATTATATTAGCTATTCAATTAATAATGGACTCAATTAAGTGATCTAAATTAAGTAGAGTTCATGGGCTACATAAATTGATATGGACTTAATGAGTGGATACCTAATATTACTAGGGTTAGGTGATAATGGGTGGCCTACCCTATTAGTATATATATAGACCCTCTTGGTTATGGTCCTCAACACACTAAATCAAACATAGTTCTCTTTTCTCCCCATCGGAATCGAGAACGACGGTCCCATATGAGGAATAAGGCGATTTAGTTGAGGAAGGCCATAAAACCAACACCGTTCGTGATTGATAATGTGTTCGTGATCCAAGTCATGTTCCATGGTGATCAAATCTAGAAATCAACCTAAGGTACGCTTCCGCTATCTAGTTTGATTCTCGATTATTTGATATGAATGCTCCTGGGATATAGCGATGGTTTTCGTATAAGGTTAATTCCAACAAGTGGTATCAGAGCCTCTTCATATTGGATTTTAGGGAATCGAATCATTTTGATCTATACGTGAATCTAATGTTTTGGCTAATCTAGATAAATATGACTGGATTTAGAACTTAATTTCAATTGTTTGCTTTTGCTGTTTGAAATTAATATATTATTGGAACAACTAAATTGAATATGGATTCGGGACCCAATTTGAAATTTTGTACTAAATATTAAGATTTATTTATGTTGGCATGCATCAGGACCAGAGGTGTAATTGGACATAAATTTATTTCCATTGCCGATTGGGTTACGGATTGACCTTGCATACCTATGTATATATATGGATTCAGATTGTATGTTTAGTTATTTGCTGCTGCCATTTATCTTTAATCGGATTTGGATGAAATTTACATGCAATGTTTTAGTTATCTGGTGCTGCCATATTTCTTTGATTGGGTAATAATTGGCTTCAGTTTTTTAATCTATCAAACATCTTATGCAATAATTTTAAACTATTGCTGTTGTTATTTATGTGAATTGAGCATACACATAGAATATTTTATGTGTGTTCAATATTTGGGCCTCAATTTATTTGTGGACTACAATTCTCATGAATTTCAGTTTGCAGATTAATTTATTGTTTGATATGTTATTATTGTCAATGTTTAATCACTACAGTAAGATATCAATTACAAGTTAATATTTTATCCAAAGATGAAATATTAGTGGAGTTATGATGTCTTGAGATAAAGTCACTCTTATTTGAGTTTATTATTATAATTCTAAGTAAATTTTGTGACCGTAAACATTGATGTTGTTACTTGTATGTTTTCGAGATATATGGAGTTATCCATCTAAAGGTTGATTTAAAATTACTATGTTTGTTAATGAGATTTTAAATCAACATAAGGGACTAAGTTTTATGGTCTTTCACAAAAAGAGATACAAATAAATGGTGGATATTTATTTCGTCTTATTTTTGTTATATTTGATTTGAGGCTATATTGTGAGTGTATTTGTGCTTAAATTGACATTTGGTTTTGGTCTAATTCGGTTCACATTAACAAAATTTGTTTCTAGCTTAAAATCTAGATATTTGAACTTGATTCTATGTTTTGTGGACTTAATTCACAATTCGGCAATGTTAAGCCTAATTTGGACGTACTAGGTTTTGGCTATATAAAATTGAATTTAAAGTCTAATTTGGTTTTATAGACTTTAAACTCAAATAAATTTAATGGACACAAGTTCATATAAAGTTTCATATTTTGACTCAAATTAAAAGTTAGATTTTGAAATTATCTTTTTC